TTTTTTATTTTGGCATTTTCTCAAATTTAGAGCAGAAATCTTCCCCTGGCCTACACCCAAACCTTTCACATTTGACCAGATGTAATCTTTGATTTTCATATTTAATATTTCTTATTCAATAAATCTCCCAAACTAATTAATTTTAGTGTACATACCTAAATGTGTTGATCTAAAAAAAAGTAGTTACATCAAGTATTGGAACCCCTTTTACTTTCACACCAGCCTGAAATGTTCATGGAATGGGTTCAACAAGTGCTGGAAATGTTTTTGGGAAATGAATATAGGTCCATGCTGATTCAGTAGCCACATACAGTTCCTGCAGATTTCTTGGCCCCATAATAATGCTGTAGACTTCCCTTTTCACCTCATCCCCAAAGGGGGTCTTTTGGGTTGTTGGTCATTGAATTTTATCAGGTGGTGTGAGATGATGATGATGATGATGATGGTGCATGCTTTGAGACCTAACACAATGTCCTACTGGAATTGGTTATTGGAAAACAAATAAGCTCTGGCCATTGTAACTTTTCAATAATGATCAGATATGCTATGCCATTGTAGATACCACAAATAATGTCAGGAATATGTTATCTGCGTCATTACAAAACCACCAACCACCGTCTGGACTGTGAAATTCTGTGGCCCAAACTTAGAATCTGTTCCCCTCAAGTGACTGTTATCTCGCTAGCTACTATTGAAGAAGGTTGAGTGATTGTAGAGAAATACTAGATTGTAAGCTCTCGCGATCAGGACCCTCCTGTATTTAAATTATATTAACTGTATTGTCTCCCCCCATTTTGTAAAGCACTGCACAGACTGTTGGCACCGTATACGCCCTAATAAAATATAGACATACCACTAGTGGCTAACAATATGTGTAATAATAGTGGTAATATATATATATATTAGGGCTACTTAGAATTGTCATTTTATTTGCTGCAGTGTTACCATATCCACCCAAGCTTTTGTATTGTGCAGCCATCATCAGAGGGCCAGACCCGACTCTCTAACAATAGCACTGCTGTTTGCACAAGCCAGACTTTTCTCATTCAGGTTGTTATTTGAGCACTGACCTGATTCAGTCCTAGGACCAAGATCATGTTTTATTCAGTGCAGGAAAATGGAAAATCTGGCAAGCACCATGATCCTTGTGTTGAAATAGTTTTATTTAGCTCACCATGCAACAATAGAAAGAGATGAGGCCGATGAGAGAAAGTAAGGGAATTTCAATTCATTATTCATTGCTTGCTCAAGCTTTAATTATAGAGAGGGTTATCATGTGATTCCAGCTTGTTTTGAGAGAAGTTTAAAAGAAGAGCAACCTTGGATTTTAGGTTGGTGAGATTATTTTCTTGTGTTCTGACTTAAAACAAACTTGAAGTTGCCTAAAATATACATAAGGTAGCAGTGCATTAAAGTGATATTCAAGTCAAAATCTATGTAGGCTATTTCAAATGGTGATGAAATCACTTACAATGGAGACTGCTCCTTGATGTTTTCAAGTTTTGTTTTCCTACAGAATCAGCTGGTCCCCTGAGTGCTGCCCCTGATATCTGGGTTTAGGGTGGCCCCTAAGGACCCTTCAAAGGAACGGGGCCACCCTAAACTCAGAGATCAGGGCCAGCACTCCTGGCTGGGACTAGAGTTCAAGGTATGCTGTGTGGCACTAGCTGTGTGTGTCCTTACAGGTACAAAGCCTTGGAGTCAAGCCAACCTCCTGCCTCCTCCATCCACCAGGCTGTCACCAGACAGCGACATGGACACCCAAAGAAGGACCCTTCCACTTTGCAGCAAGAAAACGTTTGATAGCATGTTTAGACATCCATTTAGTTTTCATGTTTGGATTTTAAAAAGTGCTACAGCAGTTAGAGATTTGTTGGGGGATATTTTTGTGTGGGTTCCCTGGCCAGAGCACAGCTTTAATTGCATCTAGCAATCAACTAAAATAAAGTTATAGTAACAGGTAGGGCTGCAACAACTCATCGACATAATCGATTATAGTCGATTATTGAAAAAGTTGTCAACTTTTTCAATCATCGATTAATCGGCTTCCGATTAGTTGGCCCTGTTCACAGCTCCACACGCTGCGCGCCACACCGCCTCCCCACCTCATGCTCGCCGCTGACAGACTCGCCCGCATCCACGCTCCACACGCCGCATGTCCTCCCCGCCTCACGCTCACCGCCCGCCCACATCCACGTTTGGCACGGAGACGCGGGGAGAAGTAAGGAGGCGCAGGTGTGGGGGGATGACAGCCGCCGATGGACAGGCCCAATCTCAGAAGCAAGTTGCTAGAAGACTGCTCAGGTAATCCTGCACTTCCCCACACATGGTGCTCTATAATGTATTGTTGGGATTTGTATTCCTCTTAGAGCTGCAACAGTTAATCGATTTAGTCGATTAAAATCGACGATTGAAAACGTTACCAACGTTTTCGATCGTCGATTCGTCGGCTATTTTACTTCCACCGCTCCAAGCTTGCTCCTGTGATGGACTACAACCTTAATACAAACTAGTAGTCCCATCACTGGAGCCATTTTAAAAAATGTATTTTATTTTATTTTTTTAACCGATTAATCGAACTTAATAATCGGCTAACTAATCGATTTTGAAAATAGTCGTTAGCTGCAGCTCTAGTAACAGGTATAAAGCACAGGCACCTAATAGGGCCTGCATATTGTTACAGCAGAATGTAGTTCCCCTATTCTGCCTGAGTTGTGAGCAATTCTGTTGGTGCAAAAGTCCAACAGTTCTTAGTAGGGTTGGGGCTCTCTAACTTCCTCTTACACTCCTTTTCATATTAAACTGTCTCAATAGTTAATCGGAATGTGTGGGAAAGCTTGAACACCACCAAAATGTACTGAAGTTTTGCCTGTTTAGATTGGACTGGCATTTGGGCAGTGTAAGGGGCAATGAAAACTTCAGCAGATATTTAAACATGCAAGGAAGTTCGTAGACACATAAGGTACTTCAAAGCTCACAAGAAGGTGCACATGGTCTTTTCACCTTGAATCCAAAAGGACCTTGTCCCAGCGCTGATTGGATCTACCACAATCTGTCTGCATTTAAGCACATTGTAGGCAAGGTCAGGTTCACATTAATGGAATGCTTAAAGGGTTTCTAAACCCTCCGTTATTTTTGCAGATATCTGCTGCTATCAAGCAGTAGATATATGCAAAAAGTTGTTTTTTTAAAAACCGCTTTTAACAGCGCATTAAACTAACCCTGTCTTTGCCGCGCGCTCTGGTCAGAGAATCCGAAACTGCTCTGGTGGCCGCAAAGCATCTTGGGGCGGGCGCATGAGCAGTTCGGATTTTCGGCCGGGAGAAGAGGAGAGACGCAAGGTAAGTCTATGGACGCGTGCACCCGCATGCAGACAACGCAGGAACGGAAGTGCCTGCAAGGACAGAGGAGTCGGTGCTGGATCAGAGAGCCGCCGTACCGCTCGAGGGAAAGATGAAAACATCAGGAAAGAAGAAGATCGGATTAGGAGACCTAATTTAAGGTAAGTGCTGACATTAACATGGTGGGGAGGGAAAACAATGTTTGACTTTAATGTCACTTTAAGTCTATATCACTAGAGTATACATTTTACGTTCTTGTAAAGTTTATCAAGAAGAACTTCACGTTTTCACGTTTCAATTCACGTTTTAATAACTAGACCTATTTCTTTGTATCTGTTCAGCTAGATTTACCATATAAATGGTGGCAATTCCCTTTATGCTTCTAAAGGAACAGTCGGCTCACAATCCAAGATTACATATCTTGATTTATGTCGTAACTGGCTAGGTGATCTCTGTTTTGTGCAGGCGTCGGTTATACTGATTTATTTATATCAACTGTCTGAGGCATCTTGGGGGCTCAACGGATGTTCATGGGATAGAAGTTGCCAGAAGCTTTTCACTGCCCAAATTTCTGATGGTTTGTGCTGAATTGGCTGAAATTTGAGCTGTGGGTGGTTCTGTAGGCACCACCTCGCGTAACAGATGTTCATTTTTCAATCGACATTTGTTGAAGGAGTTGGTTGGATAATTGTTGGCTGACTCTATATTTGTAAATGATCAGTGCACTTTAAGAAAAATAAAAAGTGCATCTTGCCTCTTATATAACTAAATTCTGCAGCTCCTACATTTATAAATTACAGAGCAGTGGTAATTTTTGTTGCCGATTCAGCAGTTGCAGCCTGCAATGATCAGGCCAAGCCAAATGTGTATTTGAAGACGAGGGAGAGAGAATTTTAAATTACATATTGGATGTTTATCACTTCTTCAGTTAAACTCCTGCAGGGAGAGGTTTAATCGCTGTAAAACTACCAGTGCCAATTAAAAATTTCAGCAGCCAAGCATTGAAGTCGATAAGCCATAGGCAATTCTCAGCAACTTAATTTCAACTCTAGAAAAAGTCACCTTATCTCTCCGAGAGTGTAACTTTTGTCACGTGTTGTGTAGCTTATGGTTTGAAAGCTGTCTGCAGGGGTATTCCATGTCCTTCACGCTAGGGTCTAGGAAAGGCAGCCATATACTGCTGATTTTTGGGAGATGTATGACAAGCTCATGTCCAGTACCTTGGAAATTAAAAGATATATACCCAAGTGGGTAACGCATTTTTAGTGTCAGAAGTGCTTCTTTTTGCGTCAGCAGTTTTTTTTTTTTTTTTTAAACCTGCCTGCCAAAGAAAGTTTTGAAGAAAAAATTCTTCAAGAGTCTTGATGGTCCATGGTGAGGATCACCACTTGAAGATGACCTTCTTCTGGCCACCTTACATGGACAACACAACTTCTGCACCTAGAGCTCATTAAGTTAGTCTCCAACCGAAAAAGGAAGTCACTGAATGACTCCACATCCATTTAAAATACTAACTATAGTCCCGTATTACCAGTAATACCGAGTCTCACACAACCATTACACTGACATTTACCCATTAATTGCATATTAGTTGTCTTTGATTGAATAATATGCTAAAAATAAAAAAAACGGCTCACCACTTTGTGTTTGCATTTGCAGGAGTTGCTGGGTATGTTTTGCCACAGATGAAGATGACCGGACAGCAGAATGGGTGAGACCATGCCGCTGCAGAGGTTCTACCAAATGGGTCCATCAGGCCTGTCTCCAAAGATGGGTAGATGAAAAGCAAAGAGGAAACAGTACAGCTCGGGTTGCATGTCCACAATGCAATGCGGAATACTTGATAGAATTCCCAAACCTCGGTAAGCATCTAGTATTTTATTATTTTTTTACATATATTTTTATTTTCCTCAATACAAAAATCAAAAATGTTTTGTGTAAAATACTGCATATGAATAGTTCATATTTACCACTTGGAGCAAGCAGCTGGCGCTCTAGAGCCTTTTGACTGTAAGATTTCTGTTGTTCTCTAATGCTTTGCTGTAAAGAGTGTAATTTGTTACTTTGCTGGTAAGTTCTATTCAGAAGATCTATCAGAACGTGCCAGAGGAGAGACATACCCTCTCCCTGACTCTAGTTCATGTGACTCTGCATTGAGGTTCAGTTAAGGAATATAGACCAGAAGTGAGCAGCTGCTGGGGTGCCACTTTAAAGCCCAGAATGCTTTGTGAACAAAGTGTTTTGGAAGCAGCTTCTATCAAATGTTTATATAAAGATGTAAAATGAGCTTGTAAATCTAATCAATATGGTTATTGTTTAACCCCTTTGCTGCCACCAACATAAAGCTTACGACCGAACAGAACTGCTTGCAACTGGCTAACTCAATAAGCTTTACGTCTGCTTGCATTCTATTCTGCTTTAGCGACCATGAACGTATGGCAGAATAGTCCCCTAGACTCTTCCCATTAATAAATAGCTGTGATCAGCGGCTGACAAGCTGCTGATCACAGCCATTCATAAAAAATGTGGAACATGGAAGAGTTCTATACTGCGCACTTCAGTGTCCGTGAGTGGGCTGCAGAGGAGAGGGAGTAAGCACGCTCTCATGGGCAGGGACCTCCTTACCGTCTTGTCTTTTTGTAATGTCATCCTCAAGACCCGTTCACATCAAGGCATCATCATGTTTGCCCGTTTGTACGCACAGTTTCTGCTAGCTTTTCTTTTTTTTTTTGCATGCGCGAAACCACGCACACATGACGTGTATATTAAAAATATTGTTTTGATAAAAATTTGCGCAACTACACACAGAACCTACAAAATCAGTAGCACCATCCCTTTATTCTATCTGTCCTGTGCTTTCAGATGATGAATGGGGTCTGTTACAAATGCTGAAAGCTGCAAATGGAAAAGTATAAAAATTGCAATAATGGTCTGGCCAACTGAGGTTAAAAGTGGAGAGCAGGGCCTGGCAGCAAGAGGGTTAAAAATCTTTTTCCTTATTTCTAACATGGTAACAAAAATATGGAGAAAAAGCTTGTAAAATGTGAAAGCGGTAAAAGCTTTTAAAGCGTCGCCTATGGCCAATTTTGGGTATGGTAGTTTTCTGCGATTTCGTGGGTACGTGCAATTTTAAAGCTTGACATGTTTGGTGTCTATTTACCCGACCTTTTATATTTTACCAAAAAACTGGGTAATAATAAATGTTTCCTAACATAATGTAAAAAAATACTTTTTTTTCTCAAATTTTCAGTACTTTTTTTTTAATTATAGTAAAAAATTGTGGTGATTTAAATACCACCAAAAGAAAGCTCTATCTGTCCCCAAAAAATGGTATAAAATTAATTTCAGTACAGCGTTGCATGACGGAATAAATGTCAGTCCAAGTACCGCAGCACTGAACACTGAAAAATGGCCAGGAAGGGGATCTAAACACCTGGTCTTCAAGCAGAACTGAAAGTAAATATTGCAATAATATTGTTTTTTAAAACATATGTACTTTAAAACTTGTTTTCTATATCTGGCCTTTTTGTTTTACAAGTAAAGTGCGTCTCTCAAGCATTGAGCTCAGAAGTCTTGGCATGCGTCCATTTCTTAAAATTCATGTTTAACTACAATATCTAAAAATATTTGAAGGCAGGACTTGACAAATCCCAGGTGCCGGGTCGCCATGGTGAATAGAAATTCTGTCTTGGCGCTTGGACTTTTGTCAGCCTCCTCTGCGCACCAGCTCTGCTTCCACCCGCTGCATGCTGCGGTCTGTGTCCCCTTCGATCCCCGCTGCTTTCCCTGCCTGTATCAGCGGAGGCAGGGGGGGATCGGAGAGAACACACACTGCTACAGCTGGCGCTCAGCGGGGAGGAAAGACTGCTGTCAGCCACTGTTCTTTCAGCACACACCACTGCAATGCGGTGATGGGAAATGAGCCCATACTTGTGTCGGCTCTGGAAAAAAGCATCCAGGGCAGCCTCAACGCATCGTTTGAGCTGGACCTAAAGGGTGTTTTTGATTCAGTAAATTGGATGTTCGAGCCAAGTGTCTTGGGTTCGCTTCAAAATGGGTACCCCAATCTCATCTTTTAACAACAGATCTGTTAGTATTTTTAACTTTGGAATGAAACTGTACTGCCTATTTAAGTGTATAGGGGGAGATTTATAATACAGAATTCTCATGAGTGCATGTCATTTCCTGACACTCTTTGTATGAAGCTATTACCCAAATGTACCCCCGAAACTTTCCTCTCCTTCTAGAACATATCTCATGCCTATATTTATTAACATATTACATTACCACCTTTGAGTTTGTCACCAGGCTTGTAAAATCCTTGCAGGAGCAGCTGCTAGAAGCTCAGTTCCCATTGACTGACATGCCCCCAGAACTACATTTCCGAGGAGCCCTTTCCCTACATACTTGTGTCGGCAGGCTCTTGGGAGTCAGGGCAGCAACATTGTTTGGCTGGGATAGAACTCAGTGTATGCCTGTAGAGTAGGACGCAGAGGGGTGCAAGGATAGTTCTGCAGGCAAGGCTGACAACACTGGATTGAATTTCAGGCACTGTTTTGTCAGCCTAAACGGAAAGTACCCTGGATTTCCGTCAGATCAACAGGTAATTTTCTGTATTTGCAGCGTTTTGTAAAGAGATAAAACATGGGAAAATATGCATTTTTTTGTTTGTTTTTAACATCTTAAAGTAAAAAACAATCTGAGACGCACTGGTTATAGAACTGTAGTGATGATATAAATTTGTGACCTTACCCCTACATACATCTCTGAGCTCTACACTTTCTTTACTTATAAACCCCTCCAATGGCACGATTGAGGCATGCAAATCAGAGTCATCTTTCTGCATACCAAGTTCTTTAGAAAGGAGTTCTTTCATCGCACTGTACAAACAATCTATTTAAAATCCATTCACACCCATGGGAGCCTGCCGTAGTGTTTCTGGTAAAGCGCATTCATAGGTATACATGGGCCCACATAGAATCGTTTTACAAGCAGATTGTAACCTGATGTCCTGGTTTTTAATGGCATCTGGGACTAGCTACCTGTTCTGCTGACAAGATTTTACTAAACAGGAAGTGAGAAGTACGGAAAGGCTGGAAGCCTCGTCAGATATTTATTTCTGTCTGGATAGCTTTTGCAGATTTTTCCTCATTTCATCTATTGTAAAATGCTGTCAGCTGGATAGGAAGTGAGGGGCCATCTATCTAATGGAGACCCAGTAAAAATCCAACAGAAGTTGTAATCCTTCCCTACTTTATCCAACACTAGAATCTTTTTGGCTTGGCGTGCACTTTACAGTGAGGAAAATAACTATTTGATCCCCTGCAGATTTTGGTAGTTTGCCCACTTACAAAGAAATGAAAGGTCTATAATGTTGTTTATCATAGGTGTATTTTAAATGATAGAGACAGAATATCAACCAAAAATCCAGAAAAAAACACATGATACAAATGTTATATATTGAGTTGCAGCTCTTTGGCATTAACTCGACTCGCTCTGTTTGGAGGAAGAAAAATGCTGACTATGACCATAAGAGCACCATCCGTACAGTCAAGCACAGAGGTGGAAACATTATGCTTTGGGGCTGTTTCCCTGCTAAAGGTACAGGCTGACTTTGCCGCATTGAGGGGCCAATGGACGGGGCCATGTATTGTAAAATCTTGGATGAAAACCTCCTTCCCTCAGCCAGAACACTGAATATGGATCGTGGATGGGTCTTTCAGCATGAGAGTGACCCAAAACATACCGCCAAGGCAACAAAGCAGTGGCTCAAGAAGAAGCACATTAAGGTCTTGGAGTGGCCTAGACATTCTCCAGACCTTCATCCTATAAAAAATTTATGGGGGGAGCTGAAACGTCAAGTTGCCAAGCGACAGCCAAGAAACCTTAAGGATTTAGAGAAGATCTGTAAAGAACACTAGACCAAAATCCCTCCTGAGATGCGTGCAAACCTGGTAACCAACTACAAGAAACGTCTTACTTCTGTGCTCCCCAACAAGGGTTTCTCCACTAAGTACTAAGTCATGTCATACTTATTTTACTCGCTGAACTGCAACTCAATTTATAACATTTGTATCCTGTTTTTTTTTCTGGATTGTTGGTTGATATTCTGTCACTATCATTTAATATACACCTATGGTACAAATTATAGACCTTTCATTTCTTTGTAAATGGGCAAACTTCCAAAATCTGCAGGGGATCAAATTATTTTCCAAACTGTATTAGTTTGTTCTCTTAACCTGTTCATTCAGACTGCTACTTATTTACATCTACAGAACTTACCGCCATTTTCATGACTGCTGGATGCTCTGAAAATCTTCAGGTAGCATCAGAGAATTGGCTGGGAAGTAGTTCTGGACAGAGCAGCAGCTGGAATGAGTGCAAAGGGATGATGCTTCATAAATAACGTGTAGTATTTCACTGACCTCTTTTCTCATTCTGCCCATTACTGCTCTGCTTAATGCAGATATTGGTATTGTATCTGGTACATTGCAGGACCTTCTCAGTCTGTGAGAACCAGAACTATCTTTCTGCATTGGCCAAGTTGTAAGGAATCGACAGCTTGCCGCAGTTAGATCATGTTAATCGATTTGTGTCCACATAAAGGATGCAGATAATAGCTGCTGCTTCAGAGAATGTCACAGCTGTTGATCCTGCAGAGCTGTACACAAGGCAGAGCTGTCTGCAGTGACAGGCTGGTGCTGCCTCCAAGTGTGCAGATGCTGCTTCTAGCTGGATGGGATGGATGCATTTTATAGCAGTACATTCAGCAGAACAAAAATAAGAATATTCCAATCTGTAACACTTATCTCCTTTCCTTACAATGTTAGATCTGTGTATCATCGTGTTTATAGCTCAGTGCTACTGCTCTTCCTGCCTGCATGCATGCACTCCAGCAAGGGCTGCATTGTATTTGCATGACAGATTGAAAATTCAGGAGCATTGAAGTGCTAATGGACAACAAGTGCAGTACATGTATTTCTATAAAAACTATAAGTCCCTCTGCCGTGGTGGTTTATGGGACTTGTAGTCTCTCCATCACAGAACCTGTGTTTGGATGATGCAGCGTTGTGGGGGGAGCCATGCACAGCTGTGCTGATTCCAGAAGATTCCTTGATGCTATGGGAAGAACAACCCTGTGATTAAGATAAGTGTTTGGGGAGTCGGGCTGGTGATCTGACTTTTCATGTCATGCCCTGAATATAGGTAAGATGAAACATGCTCAGAAAGGAGGAGTTGCTCTTTAATCTCATAGTGTTTTTTGCACACCCCCCTGCACCGCTCCTTTTCTCTGTCTTATCTTGCTGCCATGCACAAGCACAAAAAGTGTTTAATTTTTTTATTTTTTTCGTTTACTATTGAGGCAGTGTGCATGGCTCTGAAACGAAGAAGTAAGTAAAGGTTTTTAACATTTTTATAAAAAAAAAAGAGAGGGCTTTGTGCTGCATTGTTTTCACACAATGAAAAATGTTGAAGCACAAGTTAGATGTGAGCTGATCAGTCGCAATCCATGACAGTTGTCCATGACATTTTCTTTAAGGAGGGGGCTGATTGCAATGGATGATGATGGGTATATGTTGAAAAGCAAGTGCTAGGTAAGTGCTAGGTGATTTACACAAGCAATTCTCAACCTTTTTTCAGTCAAGGCAACCTTACAGAGTATGCAAAATCTAGAGGCACTACAGTCTAAAATGTAAGTGTAAAATAAAACAAAAAATCGCGACTCCTCCAAATCCATACCAGACCTTTATCCCAGATAGGGGTCTGGTATAGGTTTTAAGGGGGGGCCCCACGCAAAAAGCACAAAAAAAAAGGGGTTGCCCCCCTTTTCACATCAAAGGCCACCTTTACATCGGAGGCTTTTATCAGTCCCCCCCCTCCACAATAGAGTCCTAACATCACATTTGAAGCCGCAGCATGGGAGAGGGCGGGATGAGAAGCAGGCATGGACCACGGCAAACTTCTGTCCTTTTTGAATGGATCCCATTCTCCCTGGATTTGTGTCACTCGTTTCCGTGGTGCTGGCAGCTTGCCTTGAGGCGTGACACTGAACATTTGGAGGCACCCCAGGGTGTTGTGGCATGCTAGTTGCGGAAGGCTGCATTAGAGCACAGCCTGTAGTGGTGGATAGTCATTTAGGATTATTTATGGCCAGTGTCAGGATCCGGGAGTATGAGCCAAAGCTAAATATTGAGTCATTGCAGAAGTCCTAGTGAATCCTTTCTCTCCATTACATTAATAATCTTGTACATATCCTTCAGAGAAAGGCTACTCCTGCAGAGAAATGTTGACCATCTAATATTGCTTCCTCTCTGAAAGCCATGTGTCATAATTACATAGCAGATTGTTGCATATCAGTGACTGAAAAGAAAACCGTATATAAATACCAGTGTAGCTGGCCAGTACTGCTAGATTTTCATACAAGCCTTCATATATGTCATCATAGCATTCAATAATGCCATCAGAGACTTGACCAATGTCAAAGTTTCACTTGGTTCTCACTTTCGATGTTGAAAATGAATTGCCACTACTGGGAGTGTGATGCCTGTCCTCCGACTCCCCCACCCCCCCACTGCGCACTGTGGTTTCTGCAGGACTCAGCAGTTACATAGGAGCTGAAGGGAGGAACCACATCACACGGGAGGGGGGGGGGGGGTGCAGGCCTCAAACTCCAAGAAGTGTCAAATGCTTAAGGTGACGGGGTCACTTTAATTCCTAGCACATTTTTATTTTTGCCTCCACAAGCTGAGATCATTATTTAAAGTTTTTCAGTCCTGAAAGTCGTCTTGCTTGCACTAGTATCTTTTATGTGACCTTCCTGTTGGAACAGTGTGTGTGTTTTGAAAAACAGAAATCTGCTAGGAAATGCTCAGTCTCCTCTCTTTATTGACTAAGGGATAAAAATGGAAATCTTAGGAGACCTCAAGTCACAGCACATCAGCGGCCAGCCGTGAGTTCTCCAACTCCAAAGTCACATCTCTCACTCTAGGTCAGGTCTGCAGGGACGGCATTGCTCAGTGTTCAGGGTGGTGTGTTTACATTTTGTCAGGTTGGCGTTTGCAGAATTGCGCCACACCGTAAAATGTACTCATTCTGAATATCTTTGCTGTGCTAATGGTTTTACAAAGCTTTTCTTTCTGTAAACATTTTCTTCTAATGCCATTCGTTTGCAATCTTTAACTACAGCATATTAAATGGAATCTACTAGACGTTATGATATACAAATTGCTTTTATCTTCTCTTTCTATGCCCATCCTAACTGCAGTCTCTTTCCTCTTCCTAAAGGAGTACTTGTTATAATACCCATTTGTGCAATTGGCATTTTACATCCTTTTCCCCACAGAGTTGGGAAATGTATAAACTTTACGTCACTGTATGAACAGCAATACGACACATAAGACGGATTTGATCCATTAATTCTCTCATCTGGTGTGCAGACGTATCGCTGTGCCAATCTAACTCACTCCGCTGACCATCTCTTACAGCAACGCTTCTCAACTTGGGGGTATAAATACCCCAGGGGTACTTGACATTTAGGGGTACCTGAAAATATTTTTGTAATGGCGGAAAAAGGCTGTGGTAGTGGGGAGTCGGTCGCTAAATGTGTAGAGAAGGTAATCCTGTGGCTACAATTTCCAACACTTATTCTGTAGTTGCGGCTGCCAGTTCCTCAGTTATTCCCCAACTGAGTGATGTGGCCTTCACATCTCTTAAGCATAAGGAGCGCTAGATCCAAGGAATCCAGTGTCACAGACTTCACCCCAAAGAGACCCTGAAATGGGTTTCCCCTCAAGTATTTCTCTATAGTTAGCGTCAGTTTGCCAGTCCCGGCCAATGAAAAACATCCCCACAGTATGATGCTGCTACCACCGTGCTTCACTGTGGGGATGGTGTTCTTGTGGTGATGAGAGGTTTTGGTTTTGTGCCAAACATAGAGTTTTCCTTAAAGACCAAATGGCTCAATTTAGGTATTTTTTTGACCAGAGTACCTTCTTTCATATGTTTTTGGGGAGTCTCCCACAGGCCTTTTGGCAAACTTCATATGTGTTTGCTTATTTTTTTTTTGTTAGCAATGGCTTTTTTTCTGGCTGCTCTTCCATGGTGAGCTCTGTGGAGTGTATGGCTTAAAGCGGTCCTATGGACAGATACTCCAATCTCCGCTGTGCAGCTTCCCCAGGGTTATCTTTGATCTCTTTGTTGCCTCCCTGATTAATGCCCTCCTTGCCTGTCCATGAGTTTTGGTGGGTGGCCCTGTTTTGGCAGGTTTGTTGTGGTGCCATATTCTTTACAATTTGTAATAATGGATTGAATGGTGCTCCGTGGGATGTACAAACTTTCAGATATTTGTTTTATAAACCTGATCTGTACTTCTCCACAACTTTGTCCCTGACCTGTTTGGAGAGCTCCTTGTTCTTCATGGTGCCCCTTGCTAGGTGGTGCCCCTTGTTCAATGGTGGTGCAAACTCTGGGACCTTTCAGAACAGGTGTGTGTGTGTATGTATATATATGTATGTATATATATGTATGTATATATATGTATATATATATATATGCACGCACAACTTTTCCATTTTTATTTTTTTATTTTTTTTTTAAAGGGATTTTCTTGATTTTCACTTCACCATTTTGGACTATTTTTTTAATATGTCCATTACATGTAATCCAAAAAAAATATCAATTTTAATACCAGGTGAAAAGGCAATAAAATAGTAAAATTTCCAAGGGGTGATAAATACTTTTGCATGCCACTATATATTTGAATTGCTTTTGTATATCTGACTAAACTGTGTTTTTTTGTTTTTGTTTTTTTGTGTGTGCTGTTTTAGGTCCTGTCGTGTACATGCTGGACCTTGCAGACAGACTCATATCCAAAGCGTGCCCTTTTGCTGCAGCTGGAATAATGGTGGGATCAATTTATTGGACAGCCGTTACGTACGGAGCAGTGACTGTAATGCAGGCAAGTCATATTACCCATAATGTCGCTCTAGAGCTCTTATCAGCCGGTGTGATCTGCCTCTCAGGAGACCTACTTGTGGTCTATTTATTATTACATAAAATATTTTAGTATTCAGTGCTTAGTATACTATACGTGAGATTGTAGTCCATCACAGGAGCGAGCTTGGAGCAGTAACTACTGTACAACACACACAGGGACAAAAGTAGCCACCCTCCAGAAGGAAGGACAGTGTCGGCACCAATTCAGAGATGATTTGAGGATCTACAGCCGAGTGATACACAAATAAGCTAAATTTTTTGGTAATAGTTAAGGTACTTGAATTTATTTTTAAGATTTAACTCCTGAGTTTAGTGTCACTTTAAGAGCTTGTAGTGTTTATCAGAAAGGTGCCCCTTTTAAAGCTGAACTCTGGGCAGCCTAAAAATGGCTTAAAATCATCCCTCTCCCAACCCCCAAAGCAGGTATCAAAAATATTTTTCACTTGCATTGCTCTGTTCTTCAGATATTCCACGGTTTTGCCTTGTGACATAATCACAGGGGTTGTAATTGCCTTGGTATCAGCAACAGGCAATGTGAGGAGTTTGGCCGGGCACACTATGTGTTGTGGGTGGGGTCTTGGGGGTTGCTGATTCATTGATGGGCAATTCTATGGGTGGCTGCATGAGCAATGATGGGGGAGCATCATTGCTCATGCATCATTTGGCTGGGACCTATCCTGGGTGCAACAGCTTGATGGGCAATGGAGGAGTATTGATATAATTCAAGATTTATATAGCACCAGGAGTTTATGAAGTGCTTTCCAAAATTAAGGGAGAGAGTACGGCTGCAACACAGGAGGTTAATGAGGGACCTAATCCTCCTGTACTCTACTGTAAGCAGCAGCAGCATGTGGAATTCTGACCGCTGCCTAGCAGGGAACTATCTGTGGCCTGTGTTGCTCGCCAACTGCTGGCGACAGCTCAGTGATCCACAGAAGGGCGGGCATTAGGCAGGGAGCAAGGTGGCGCTGGGTATGGCAAAGATTTGGATAGTGACAGGAGTCTGGTGGGGGGAAGTTTTGAAGGGCAGGGTAGTGCTGGATGTGAAGATGCCATGTAGACCTAGCCACCTTCTCCTGATCTCTCTTTCCTGCAGGCAAGTTGACATCACCACTTGACTGACACTATCACGGGGGGCAGTGAGGTGGCCTGCTCAGAGTAAGCAGGCAGCAGTGACTGGTTGCTTTGAAAGTAAAGGGAGACCACCTTGAATAAAGGGTCAGCTATTTATGTAGATTATGAACCTCTGATAAACTGGAGATCAGTATAAAGGTTGAATCTTATAGAGTTGAGCACTCCTCTTGTTTATTTATAGTTGTTTATGTGCTCAGTCCACACCATTCATGTGCAGTGGCGTGCAGAAAAACTCAACGGACATGCTGTGAACAAGCCCTATAGAGGTACAAATAACTACAGCAAATTAGGAAAAAAAGACACTGATAAAGTTCAAGTTCTGAGTTGAATCTGAGAACACCGGACTAAACCCATCTTGCCAGTAAAATGATTGCACTCAAAGCAAGGTCCATTAAAAGGGAAGCAATATGCCCTTCGGTAAAATACAATGGAGGACTGCATTTCCTTCTTAATACTAGAGATATTTGCATGTCATTACTTCTATTACAAATCTAAAAACAAAGAGTGTTTATTCAATGATCTTGACTGGAGCAATACTGAACATGGCTGTATATGCCAGTGAGCACCAACAGCTATTATGACCCATGTATCCTGTGATTCAGGGATCAGGGAATTCTTACACCCTGTTGTGTTGTTTTTTTTTTCCCTACATTAGTTTCACTGCAAATAAAAGTTTACATTGCAGTGTATTTTATCATCTGTACAAAGTTAATGACGTACTGGTTGAACAACAGTAGTGTGCTTAGGCCGGTCCTCTATTATGTGTGTCATTGGGGAGTTTTTCTTAAATAAGATGCATTTTAATTACCAGTCTCTAGATGTCAGCAAGCCATTGCCCCACAAAATCGCAGGAACGTAGAGATCGATGCGTTCAAATTCCCAGTAGTATCATTACCGGCTCTCTTATTTGTTCTCTTAGGATGTAATCAGTGGATGAGAAGGGTTTCAGTTTCTGAATTTACATCTGTGTGCAGGCAGCTGTGCCTCCCTGCTACCATTCTGTGCTGCTGCCCTTTTCTACTAAGGGATACAAGTAGATACTGACACAGACCCTCTTGCTGCCAGTGAAGATGGGGAAATGATGCTGCATTCTTATCAAATTGGGTTTTATTCATTTGTGTAGCAGCAACGTCTTCTGCAGTATGTCACACAAAACACTAGACCATTCTTGGCAGTCCTGCCCTGAAGATCCTTTCAGGTTAATGCCTCTACCAGGCATACAGACTCGCATAGGCCAGATTGGAGAAAAGCTGATTTAACTTTTCCGTGTGTCTGTATTTCTGTATTGAAGGAGGCAATGGATGATACGAAATGACCTGCACTCCATACAGCATACAGACCTTCTTGAAAGGTTGGTGCATGAAGTGACAACATGGATGGCGCAGTGTCATATACAGTCCATAATATTGCTCATGGATTGTAGGAGGAAAGCAGAACGCCAGGGGTAAACCCACATAAGATACAGGAAGAGCTTGCGGGGCGGTGTCCGTGCTGTGGCGGCGTCCGTGCTGTGGCGGCGTCCGGGCCCAAAAGAAAAAGCAGGACCATGGCTCCTATGTTGGCCTGCCATATAGTCTCGACAGTGCTTGTAATAACTGGGTCTGCTAACAATTTTTGTTGACATTGTAAAGAGGAAATGCAGACAATGAAGGAAAAAACGTAAGAAGCTCTTATGGCCACTTTGTTTTCTGTATAGCTTTCCTTCATTGTCTGCATTTCCTCTTTGGTGCAATATAGCTGTTTTAGCTTCAAATGCCAGACCCTTCTGTACCTACAATTTTTTTTTATTTTTTTTTCTCTGTGGGGTTTCAGATTTTCACAAATGTAGCCTGCCCATTACCTAAGAAGCTTCCTGCAATACCAGAAATAGACTGTCAAAGCTAAAAATGTAAGACTGCAGAATTCATTTAATGTTACACACTGCAGCTCTGCACTTCCCCTTTCAACAGATCCTAAAATGTAAAGTTGGAACAGGTACATTTTTTTAAGTGCAACTCCAGCCCAAAATTTTTTGCCGTTTTAGATAGCATATCTAGATAGGGTTATCCCTACCTCACTTTCTGTCCCTGTGAAATTGGATTTTGAAAATTGCAAACAAGGATTGGTGATAAAGTTTCAGTGGCGACACCTTTTTCACATGATCACTCTTACAGGAGTGAATTTTCCTTCCTAGGGGTAGATTTCCTTTCACTTCCTGTTGTCTCAAGGACAGGAAGTGAGATTAAATCTTCCTAATGAGGATACAGACAGCAGTAAAAACCCAGAGTGACCTGGAAGAAGAGGCCGGCACCTCTCGTCTGCACGTCTAACACGAGCCAACTTCCTTTAATGTGCGTACAGTAGTGCGAACCAAACCCAAAAAGTTGGGCACTCCTTATCAGCACAAGCGCGGTAGCATTACAGTGATTGAAATGCTGCGCGGTACAATGTGGCTGCAGCCTGGGACCCCCTGCTGTACAGTAATAGCCTCAGTTTGTAAGTAGGGGTCGGATGTTGGTAACTCAGGGACTGCCTGTATAGTCAGTCACTAAATTCTTAACATTTTAAGGTAAATGAAAAAATAACTCAATATTTTGAACTAAAACCTGTCGATCCAGTCATAAATTTCTTGCCCTGCATTGCCACTCTGTCACACACTTTCTAAATGTAGACTGCTAGTGACCGTGCCAACATACAGTGCACAGACATGGTCAGCTGTTGTCACCATCAGGCAACCCGCCCTCAAATGCTATGCAGCCATCTCTAAGAAGCTCAGTATCTTTAGGTAAATAGCAAAGTTTGTGCAAATAGGTCTGCAGCAGTCTGTATTTGAATGTCCAGCTGTAAGGCAGACACATAGGCCATAGAACAGCTGATTGTGCTGAACTTTTTGCATTTTGCTCAGGCCTACATTCTATTAACCATTCGGGGAAATGCAGACCTAGGAAAGCATGTTTATCTCCACTTCTGTTCTGCTTCAGGTAGCAGGCTGATCCAATTATATTCTGTCTGTGTACAAGCGACAGTGGGCAGACCAGCCCAACAGCCTGGGGTCCTTTTGCGGTTGCCCCGCCTGGGGTCCTTTTGCGCCGGCCCCGCCTAGGGTCCTTTTGCGCCGGCCCCGTAAGAAAGTTCCACCTAATAAGCATGCTTGTGTTTGTACAGCCATTGATAAATAACTGAATTAGGCACTCAAACTTAAAAACAGTAAATTGTCTTTGTTTAGAAAGAAAACCTTCTCCTTCTCACTAATGAGTAATCAAAATATAAAAAAAGAAAATGCTAACCGTGATTATCATTGTTAATTAACATCTGTGCTAATTATGTCAATGTTGACTTTGATTTCCTGCCAATTTCTGTGGGCTCCTGTCGTGTGTATTTGCATACCAAATATATAACTGATTACTCAGAGACGGCGTGGAGGAGAAGGGAGGCGGAATGGTTGTTTTCCTGATGCTTTGTTAGCTTCTGGCAGCCCATTAAGTCTTTAAGGCTCTCCAGTGCTTCATTATACATCCTGGTGAAGCACCACGTGTGCTATATTGCAGATGTACGACACGTTTCAGGTACTGTCATTTTCGAGGCGCTCCACGGGTCATTATTCAGTCATTCGCTTCTGTATTTCAGGAGTATTTTGCTGCAGCTTTGCTTAAAGGAATTTTCGGAGCTTACCTGTAGATTTGTCTATTCCAACTCGGACTCGATGATTACATTTTCACACGGATGGCTTTTTGTGTATTTGCATTGGCCTGATGTGTCGCGGTGCGGCCAAATCAGGCTAAAAATTTTTACAAAAATTGAGAACATGCAAACCGTAATTTATTCTTTATGAACCCACACGAAAGACTCCTGCTACAAATCCCTTTTAGTCCAAAATCTACCCTCTCCTGTGGAAGTCGGTGCAGGCCTCCAGAGCTCATCCGCACTCCCCTTGAGTCAAAAGCAAAGGGCCTGGCTGCACTTTAATGATATTAGCATTGGTAAACTTTACTGTTCTGGACACACGAATACAGAGAATCCGCCCAGACCCTCCTCTTTCTGACCCCAAACAGGCTAGAGATGAGGGAGGATTATGACCCATCAGCTTGTTTTGCTATCTGTGCCCCGTTGGGGATATTTCCCTTCACTTCCCATCCGATAGCCACAACAGAACGTGAGAGGAAATCTCTCCCCAAGTAGGGAAATCCTTGGTGGTTAGCAGGGTCACCAGAACTAGTGTCCCCATTGGAAGATTTCCCTTCTATTTCTGCTCTCATGACAACCCAAAATGTGAGATTTTCTTTCATCTTCAGTAATAATGATCACCAGAACAAATAGAGGGTGATTGTCCCTAATGGGGACACAGACCGCAATAAAAACCTGACAGGTGTTCTAATCCCTCTCCACTATATCCAAAACTAAAATATACGTTTTGGCTTCAGTTGCACTTTAAGGATCCATCCACTAACCGATACAGCATACAGCACATATGTGGATATATACACTTTCATCCACTACAGGAACATTCCAGAAGAACTAGCTGCAACACTGTGCCTATTGGCAATAAAATGCATATACTAGGAATATATACAAATGACAGATGTAAGTCGATAATGGTTTCCTGTCTTCGTCCCACAGGTGACAAGCTGTGCAGTCCTGGATAGACATTGTTCTGGTAATGGCTGCAGTGATCTGAACTTTCTTTTTTTTTTTTTTTTTTTAGGTTGTGGGCCACAAGGAAGGTCTAGACGTGATGGAGCGGGCTGATCCTCTCTTTTTGCTGATTGGTCTACCCACCATTCCTGTCATGCTGATTCTGGGCAAAATGATTCGCTGGGAGGACTATGTTCTCAGACTGTGGCGTAAATACTCAAACAAATTACAGATTCTTAATAGCATATTTCCAGGTAAGTGAGGGTTGGCTACCATATAATACGAATGAATGGCAATCTCTACTAGACTGTGCCAGCTTGGTTCTCATACTTATCCATTGTATGTAACACAGGGGCTGATGTATAACCATCTGCACAGCTTTTCGCTGTGCAAACAACAACTCGATGGAGCCGAGGAGCATAGGAAATGACTTGCTCTCCTCAGCTCCATCTAGTGGCCATACAGCGCTGAGAATCTTGTTCGCATAGCGAAGAGCTGTGTGGACAGTTTATAAATCAGCCTCTTAGGGTGGGTTCACACCATTTTCCGGACCAGATCTGGTCCGGAAAATGGTGGGAACCTACCCACAGTTCCAGTGCATTCCGGACCAGGCAAAATGAGGCTTACAGTATTTGTCTGGACTGTACTGGTGTGAACAGAGGCCAGGCATAGCATAGGGATACATTGGGAGGCATTTTGGGTCCGGAAACGATCTGGTCTGGAGATGATGTGGTGTGAATGGGCCCTTTAATGCTGAATTCTGGTATCACAGATAAAGTACACTTTGGAAACTTTTTCCCCCTAGTATGCATTTGGAGTTAAAAACTATAAAAACACTCTGATGAATGTGTTCCCCGATGCACAATATGGTTCCATCCTTCGACCATTATATCACTGCTATGTCCTGTAGTGATTTAGGGGTTGGAAGGAAAAAAAACACTGGGCACAAGGAAAACACTCCCAAAAGTGATGGTTGCCCAGCAGATATCAGCGCAGGATTTCTCTTGATCAGACTGGGGTTCTGGTGCCATGGGCAGTGATATAACTACATATTCATTTTTTTTATTTGCAGATATATCTTTTGAGATTTTTTTTAAATGACTTGACCGCTTTAAAATGCCACTGAAAAAAACAATTAGAACAAAAGCACCATTTGTCTGCCAGTGTGCTAAAACTTCAGTTTATTAAAGAGTTAGGAGCCTCCCTGCTATCTGACCCCTTCCAGGGTATTGGATGGTGTATCCCCCAAA